ACCAGGATGTCAGGTAAATGTCTGAGTATGGTCTACAGAGTGCTCTAAGGACACTCTCCCAACACCCCCTAATCTGGCCTAAAACAGAGATAGCTAAGGCCATGACTGGATGATCCTGAGTGCAATGTTAATGGACCACCTCACAAACTTATTTTCAGAGTAAATTCCAGATACAAGCTAAGTTTTATGACTCAACAGTCCCTCCCTGGGGGTCCCTCTATCTATCTATTCCACCTTTCCCAACATCTGCACACAAATAAATATAAATATAAATCGTAAATATTTTAGACCCTTGCAAGACTGACTTCCAAACCCAGGGATGCTCTCCTTGCTATATTATTAACTAGATTAATTCAAAGTACTTTAAAATTTTAATTACAGCAGAATGCAATGACTCTCCTTTCTTAATCAAACTGTGAAAAATACCTTTGTATCTTAAAAATGTTAAAATATTAATGTGTAACTCAAAACATAGTTTCCCATGCAGAATTGTCAGATGTGAATAATAAGATTCCCTACAGTTGACAGTTATTTTGTGATTCTTAAACTCTAACTTCTGTTCTTTCCTGAAAATTATTTTGATAGTTTTGAACTCCTTCTCATTTAATCAGTTTGAGAAATCACATAATGTTAGTAAATCCATATGCTCTTGTGAATCAAGTTTTAACCTCTTATCTTCTTTTGAGTTTTCATGTGGTTTTCCTTCCCTTAGAAGTAGAACTGTGTAAGGTTTGTAACTTGTATTGTACTATATTCATGGAAAATGCCTCTGACCTTTTGACCTCTGACGTATTTCCTGCTGTAATTATGAAGCAAGCAGAAGCTTTAGAAGTGAGCAAAAACTGAAAACAGTGGTTAGGGTGCCTACACAGTAGAAGGCAGTGGTTTGGGTGCCTACACACTAGGATGCTGACACAGCCTCCCTCAGTGTATTTCAGTTAGGATGCTGCATTAACTCTGTCAGACTAGATACGTGCCTATAATCAGTGTGGTGTACTCTTTCTCTGTTGTCTATTTGCCAAAATACAAAGATTCTCTGCATTACACAGTAGGACAGTTTTTTTTTTTGGATTGTTCCCCAATTTTCTCCCCAATTTAGTCGTCTCCAATTCCACCCACTATTTAGAACTCCCCCAATCACACAATACTAGCAACACTAGGAGGGCGAAGGCTAGCTCAGGCTTCCTCTGAGACCTGTGAAGCCAGCAATGCATCTTTTCAAACTGCCGCTCATGCAACGTCATTGGACAGCCGAACACGCTCAAAGGAAAGAGCCATCCGCCAGATCTGTTATGTTAGCTAACAGACGCCTGCGCTGACTAGCATCACATTGAGTGATGGGGGAGAATGGGGGCCATCCTACCCATCCAGACAGCGAGGCCAATTGTGTTTTCTAGGACTCCCTGCCTCAGATTGCTGTAGCATCACCAGGGATCGAACTTGCGATCTCCTGATGATAGGGCAATGCTTAGGTCGGAAGCCCTGACAGTTTTCTTTTAGTGGTCCATATTCCTTTCAAATGTTTCTGGTCCAAGTATTTTGTTTCCCATTTTGAACTGTATAAACTCCTCCCCTGCTCCAGCCATGTACATACCTTCTAGACGGACAGGATCTGCATGTGCATGTGTCTACCGCTCTGTCCTATTGTCTAGTGTATAGACACCCTAACAGCTCCATGTATCACAGGGCAGGTTACCTGAATTTTCTTGTGCAATGAATAAAAAAGTAATTTAATTTATCTGTTGGTTTGTTAAGTGTTAGATTCTGGAGTGTGTCTGTGGGACTGATGTTGGATGAAAAGGCCTGGGTTGCAATCAATATTCCAGTTTATTCAAGAAGTGTTCAGTGGGGTTGAGATCAGACCACTGGAATTTGTCCGCACCAAACGATGGGAGAAGGGTCCAGCTGCCAACCTCCGGAGCTCTGCTCCGCTGAAGAGCCAATCAAATTGCAGAACTCTAGGTCCGCTCAGGAAGGAAAAGCTTCTCAGAACAGCTAGTCATGTAAATGTGCCTTTTGATACCACAGAAACACAGTATAAGTTACAAGAATAGAATAAAAACAAGGGATACTTAATAAAAGATTAAAACAAGAGTTTTTAGGAAGCCAGTGAAGCACATATAGAGGAATGTGTTCACAGTGACAGTATTTTATATTGATTTTTGCATTTAGATATGTCAAAAAATAACATTGAATCAATGTCGAATCAGGATAAAATCGATGTCTGCAAATAAATCAGTTCTGACATCAGAGGTCAAAACTGCGATGGAAGAATGAACATTGATCCAGCATAATTTTGTTATCTGGACTGCAAAATAAGCTGGTTTCAAGAAAAAAAACACAGGTGAACAGAGGTGAGCCTCATAGCGTCACAGCCCTTTTATTTTGACAGCTAGTTGTGTGAGTAGAACTAAGGGATCTGGCCCAGATCTGGCCCATACACTGTAAAGTGAGCATATTTAAAAGGTGTGGGCCAGATCTGGCTCATGCATGTCACACAGATATGGAGTACCCACCTTGGTCCCCGGCCCATATGTGGCCCTGAGGATGCAACATTAATTTACTGTAGAACATGCAAAATATTAATGTTCCTTCTTAATAATCAATTGTGTGTCAAAAGCCATTTGAGAATGAAACCTCTGTGTAAATTTTGGTTAAATAAATAAAAACAGTAAATGAATGAAGGAAAAAAGCCTTTGTTTCTGTAATAGCTCATTGTCTGCAGTCTTTGTGTATACAACTTCAAGGACATATCTAGCTGGCCATTCCACAGACATGCCTTGAGTTAAAGAGTACTATGTTTTCCACATTCAAAAATACATTTTTCACAATATTTCTACACAAATTTTAAACCATGGCACACAAAGAATTCTTGAGCCAAGTGGAAAGGCCACTGAAAAACAGGCTAAATCTGACATCTTCCTTGAAGCACTGTTCAAATGGGTTTAGAATATCATTTTTCAGACATTTTATTTCAAATCAAAGATGACAAAAATGTCTGAAAAATTTTACTTACGCGGTCTGTGGAATAAAAAAACAGTTGTGTATGTTCTTGAAGTATAAGCATCAACCTCTTCAATGTCCCTTTTGAAATATGGACAAGCCAACTACTAGCATACTACATACATACATCATCTAAACCGCTTATCCTTCTGGGTCGCGGTGTACTAGCATACTAATATGACTATAAAAATTAATATGACTACTAGTATACTAGTACTAACAGTAAACAAATCTAAAACTGGATAAATTGCTGTTTTGCTAATAATTTTAAATACATGACTTTTTCCTACATTACGTGACACATGCGCCCTTTCTGGGATGTGCTTAGGATCCCACTTCAGCAAGAGGTGGTAGTAACCTAAGAAGTTATACAGGGACTTTTAACTGTTTATGATCTTATGTGATATCATTATCATACCAATATTGCGTGGTATTATGATCTTACGTACATATTATGATCATAATGCTTTGTTTTGCATACATTCATTTTCACTAGTGCAGATTCCCTATAAAGAAGACAAAAAGCAAAAACATTTAGAAGAAATATTAATGCACAACATTCATGCCCCAATTGGCCCTTTAAACATAAATAACAAAACCATATATAGCTGTCCAACATCTGGCCCAGTTGTGGCCCACATGCCTAATATCTATCTGGAAGTCAACCAACACTCATTAATGTAAGCCATAATCGACTCAGAACTGGGCAGTCAGGTCCTTGTCCAAACTGCTGCCACAAAGTTTATAGCGTATAATTGTCTTAAATGTCTCATTATGCTTCAGCATTAACTTTACCCTTCACTGAAATTAAGGAGCATACCCCAACCCCTGACAAACAGCCCCAGACCATTATTGCCTAGACTCATCCACCAGACTGACAGATAGTGAAATGTGATTCATCACTCCAGATTACACACTTCCACTGCTCCAGAGTCTACTGTCAGCATGCTTTACACTAGGCTTGTGTGTAGCTGCTTCGCCATGGAAAACCAATCAAAGAAACTCTCAAAGCACAGTTCCTGTTTGGAACTATTAGTAAGTGATGCAACAAAGGACGAACAAACAAAGTTTGTTTACATGTTTCAGCACTCAGCAGCCCCAGTCTGTGACACTGCTTGATTTACCACTCATGCCTAGATGCTTCCATTTCACAATCATAGAACTTACAGATGACCGGGGCAGATCTAGCAGGACAGAAATTTCGTAAACTGACTTACGACAAAGATGGACTTCCATAACAGTGCAAAGTTTAAAGTCACTCAGCTCTTCAGCATGACCCATTCTACTGTCATTGTTTGTCTATGGCTATGTGCTGGATTTTATACACCTGTTAGCAAAGGGTGTGGCTACAACACCTGAACTCAATAATTATGAGGGGTGTCTACATACTTTTGGTCATATAATGTACATATATACAGTAGCACTGAAATTAAAATTATTTGGTAACACAATACAATACTGTTGTAACTATTCAGGAACTAAGCAGGGATGAACAAGAAGTGTTGCATCAACATGTACATAGCTACTATTGACTACTAATGACTAGTAGTTAATTAGATTAGGATCGTTCACTTTTAACTAAACAATAACTACTAAGTTTCATTGAGAATTACTTAGTAACTATGGTACCTTAAAATAACTACGCATGGATTACGGGTCAATTCAAGAGCTGAGTCTTACAAGGTTAATTAGATAAATATTATGTTGTTTATTGTATTATTTTAGCAAAGTTCAATATTCATAAATGGAAGTATTCAAATCAAAATCCTTCTATAACAGAATAATATAATTCTATAAAAGAATAAGAAAGATGCAAAAACCTGTGACTACGCAAGTTTCGGTATTTTCTGTAATGTGATAAATGTCTGATGTGTGAATATGTGAATCCCCTGTTGTCTGTGAACGTATTTTGTGCTTTGTGCTGTTCTTGCGCCTGTATGTTTTTGTGTCGCAAGTCTTCCGGAAGCTGTTCCGGGGCAACTTTCACATCAGGCTTGTGTTTCCTGTTTACAGGCGGGAAGAGCGAACACACCTGAATCCCTGTTCTGTTTTGTCTGTTTGGGTTTCTTGTCTTATTATTTTGTCAAATTTCATGCAATAGAAATCTTATTTTTGGTGGAGTATTTACTGACGTTCAAAATATTGCGTTAAAAAGCCATGGAGGACCCTGCACATTCTGGAGACGGCTCTGTAGCACTATTGAACCCCACGGTACAAGTAACAGAGATTCGCTGGCCAGCCGAAGCGCGTCCTGTGCGGTTGTTGGAGTGGAAAGTGAAACCCGGCGCTTTGATTAATGTGGATTCTGTTATTGCATTGTGTGTAGTTATCCACACAGACTTAAAGTCTGGATCAGAGGAACGTGACCAGGCAAACAGACTATCGTTACCAGATAAGAAGCTGAAATCGGACCGAGCTGGAGTTGTGAGAGAACTGTGCTGTCAACTAGGACAGGTCATATATGCTGGGTAAGCTGCTAGTTAAAGACAATAGAGTCGTTTTGTCTTCTTTTATTGCTACATTAACTCAGTTGATCTCTTTTTATAGCTACATTTTGCAAGGTACATTTAACTTAACGTTATGTGTCATGCGCGTAACAATTGCTAACTCGCTAGCTGCTAGTACAGCTAGCTAGTTAACCTACCGAGCTAGCTTCACTGTTATGATGGCGAGAGGTAAGAAGTTAACAGCATGTTTATACTCATTGCACTGATTTGAGTTGTCTGCTACCAGCTTCCTGAAAATGAAGTCAAATCAAATTTATTTGTATAGCGCTTTTTACAACTGATGTCACAAAGCAGCTTCACAGAATTCCAGTAAAGACAAAGTTTTAACATAAAATGTAAAACCCCCAGGTGAGCAAGTCAAGGGCGACAGTGGCAAGGAAAAACTCCCTCAGAGCTGAGAAAGATACCTTGGGAGGAACCAAGGCTCACAAGGGGGGGCCCATCCTCCTCTGGTCAACTACCTACAAAATTATTGTGCTACTAATATTAATAGTAGTAGTAGTAATAGTTAGGAGAGTAGTAATAGTTAGGAGAAGATGAAAAACAAAGCGGTTGCGACTTTTTAGCGTTCACTAGGCTGTATTAGGCTAGCTATGTTATACGCTGTTTCAAAAAGCACAGTTTAGCATAACCAGAATGTTATTTTTCACTGAGGCAATTTGATTTAAACACACAGCACTACACAGTAAATTTGAAATGTCTAAGGCCGCGACTATCTGAAATCTTAGCCATGCAGCGAGTTTTATGGGACCGACGTATTTTAATAGTTGACTTTGCAGGTTTTTTATTTTTTAGTTAGTGGGGAGGTATATTTATTTTGTAGTCAGTCATTGCACAGGATGGTTATTTTAACGCACACATTGACGTCTAGATCAGTGATTTCCAACCTTGGTCCTGTAGTACTTTTGCCTTGCACATTTTAGTACTTTGCCTGTTTTAACGTACCCATCTCAACCAAGTAAGGATTTGTTATTTAGCTGTTGAGTTGGATCAGGTGTGTTAGAGTGAAGAAAACAGCGCAGTATGCAGGGAAGGGATAGGTGATTGTGGCTGTATTCAAAGTAACATACTGTGTACTAATAATTTTCGTAGTCACATTCAATATAGTATCCAGTATGTGAAAAAAAAAACCTGTGTGCTGTAGTACGGGGAAGGGGTATGACTGAGTTGCCAACATCAGAGGCTGAGCCGACCAGACCGATCTTAAGACCAATCCCATTTTGCCTAGCCCTCCAGTCAATGCTGCAGACCTGCCAACCTTTACACATAGAGCGTAGCAAGTACGCATTTTGACATCAAAGTATGCTGATATGATTTGTCTCTCTTAACTATGCAAAAAAGCTGGTGACACCTGTGAATTCTATTGTGAACATGCAGTACTCAAATCCAACAGGAAAGAGGCAGCAGTGTGTAGCTTTCCAAAAAAATAAAAGAAGAAGAGTTTAACCAATCATAGTGCTAGGTTTTTCCAGGATGGCAAATGCGTAATATCAATCATTTCAAGAGACTGCAAATCGATAGCAACACAATTTCCCCCTCTTGTTCCTCACTTCATCTGGCTGGTTTCACAAGGGTGGTGCTTGTGCTACGCAAATGTTTTCCCAAGGTTGGTGGGTCTGCTGCTTAACAACCATGGCTATCCATTTTTAAGTTCTTTAGTAACATATGTGGATATATTTTGGTTTAGAGATGTGCCTGCTCAGTTTTAAAAGTGCCATTAACGGTGTTGTTTTCTACCCATCTCCAAATACACAAATAACTTTAAAAATGTTTACTTTGTCTGTGTGGTAAACTTCTGTGTTTTCCAGAGGTGCCTATGCCCAATGTTTGTTAATTGGAAGTTCATTTAATTTTTATACATTCATAGTTGGTAATGAGCTACTGAATGATAAGCAGTGTGACTCTGTGCAGATTATTTGGTGGAGATCAACTTTAAAAAGGTATTATTTTAACCACGTTATTTATGCAGTGAGGACACCTTATTAAATAGACAAAGTAAGCAAACCAACCCCAAGACAAGCAGAGAAAACTGAAGGGGCAGTAACAGGACAAATTATTTTCAATTCATTTGAGTGTCCATATAAGGCTAAATCTCAGGCTAAATTGTTAATTGTTCAGAGCAAACCAGGCTGCTAAATCAGTGGTTACGCCCTCCTGAAATGACAACGTTGTATTTTGGGATGCAGTATAGTATGAAAATATATCTGGCTGCATGCTGGAATATTTGGCAGGAACTGTGGAAATTGATGTTGGTTGTATACTGCACACTGCTTACTACTTTAGGACACAATCATTATGCGAGCACTATATAGTCAAGTCAAGTCAAAGTTTATTTATTTAGAGCTTTTTACAACAGATGTTGTCACAAAGCAGCTTTACAGAAAAGTCTGGGTCCAAGCCCTCAAGAGTAAGTGGCAAGGAAAAACTCCCTAGGAGCAAGAGGAAGAAACCTTGAGAGGAACCAAAACTCAAAAGGGGAACCCATCCTCCTCTGGTCGACAGTGGATAGCAAACAGCATTAGTATAAAATATTAAATACAGAAATGGGGAAAAACAGGTGAAGCAATGGTTATTATTATTAACTATATTATTGCTATAGCCTGTACCCAGTGGCAGGTACTGCGATACCACCATAACAGCCCCTAGTTACGTTAAAAACTAATTTACCACCAGTTTATATTGTGTTTATTGCCATTATTCATTTATTGATTTATTTCATGCACACCAAAGCAAGACACTATTATTATCACCCGTAAACATTTTGGTGTCGGTAGGACAAAGAAAATAATACGGCTCAGGTAAGGGCGAAAATGAATGGGACTCTAAGGGAGGAACAAGGGATGAAAAAATGTCACATAAAGTGCGGGTCAGTATTGCTCTGGATTAGAGCTTGAGGACTGACCCTGGGTCAGGACATGTAGTTTGGTGGCTGTCGGGCAAAGAAATAATAGTGTGTGTTGGGGTTGAAAATGAATTGGAGACTATGGGAGAAACAAGGGATGGAAAAAAAGACAAACAGATGAGGGCCGGTCAGAACAACATTGAATTTGTGCTTGGGGGCCTGCCCTATATGTAAAATGGAGCTTTTCGGTCAAGCAGAAGTTCAGTAGATTGTCATGCAATTTCCTCCCCCATTCATTCCTAAGGGGAAAAAAAGACAAATTTCCATTGCTACATGGAAAAAGTACATTCGATCAAAAAGCTGGACAGGCTGGACAATATGGGAAAAATAAGAATTATAAAAACGAGAAGAAGAATAATAAGAATATAAAACAAAAAACTATAGTTGCCACACACAGCCATAATAAAAGAAATATAAATATTTACATCCTTTTTATATAAAACAAACATGTAGTATGAGTCATGTAGTACAGTTACCAAATGCAGTAAAATATAAGTAAGCATCTGAGCAACGCATTAAAAATTTTCAAAAAATTGTCAAAAGCAACAGTGAGGGTATATTAGCATGAACATGCTTATTTCACTTTGTTGTTCAAACAAAAGATATTTCATGCGATAATAAGCCGTGGTTGGATGTGTTGAATGTATAACATGTATTCTGTGCTCAATGATTTGATTGGAAATATCTCATTTAGCCTAAGCAGAGTGGTGGAAATAGCAAGGTGCAGCTGTCTGTACTTTTAACAAGCAAAAATAGAGATGAAAATGACCAGAATTCATGTTTAACTTGCATAATAAATGTAACATGATATATTTAGATTTTAATAATAATTATCTGATAGTTAAGAAGCTGCCTGGAGGCTTGTCTGCTGAGTTTGTTTATGAAGCTCCGCTCTGGGCAGACACATTCCTGAGCTCGTACAAATTACTACAGAAGCAGTGTGGGTTCGCACAGTGTATCTGCCCTATACACAGAAACCTCTCTCTTACCAAACTAATGTGATGTTTTGGACAGGACTTGAGCTGCACGCACGACTCACATTTGTCTTGCTGGAGTGAATGAAGTTATATGACAGAGCGCATTGTGCTTTTTGCCAGCGGTGTTGTTAAACCTTGACATTCTTACTTCTCCTCTCCTGTGTCTGTCACAAAACTGAAAAGCACATTTGATTGGATTTACTTGACACGCCATCCACATTTCAAGCTGTCCAGTAATGCTGTGGCCGGGACGTTAAGCCCGACTACAGAATTGTGTTTTGGTTGTGGTTGTGTCAAATATGTGCATACACAACACAAAGGCTTTTATTGGCAAAGTAGCAAGTTCAAATGCTAATTCCGATAATGAGAAAAATGTTGAATATCAGCTCTAATTATCGCTTGACCCCTACTGCAAATTAGGCCTGGGTGATAGGGTGATGTAATTGTACATTGTCGATGTTGGACAAGTAACCTGAGGCCGGTGAGTAAAAGTGATTATCAGCGTTTTGGGAAAAGAACTGAGAGAATTTAGTTTGGTTTCTGAGAGAAAGAGAGATATATTTGATAAGAAGCTGCTTGTCAGTTCTCTGCGCTGTGCACAGTACTGATAGCTTCAGAGTGACTTGCTACCATAAAAAAAAAAATCTCCCAATGAAGAGCCTGGTAGACTATCTTTTAGAATTATTACCCTGCTCAAGAGGTTTCATTTCAAAAGCCTACTCATTAATTATGTCTACAAATACAAACTGAGCAAAGATGTGTGAAACTGTGCATTACTGAGAGTGAATGACTGGGACAGGAAAGGGCCTTCCTCAAGCTATGCCACAAAGTTGGAAGCCTATGGTTATCTAAAATGTCTTTGTTTACTGTAGCATTAACAGTACCCTTCATTGGAGCAAAGGAGCTTGCTCCAAACCCTAAAAACATCTCCAGGTCGTTATCTTGCCTCCACCATGCTCTACCTTTTGTACTAGGCATTCTGTTAGGTAGTGTTCTCCCGTTATGTCTGCCAAGCCCAGATTCATCCGTCGGACTGCCAGATAGTGAAACATAATTCAGCACTGCAGAGAACATGTTTCCAA